GTCGCCTCGACGAGGTCAGCGAAAGAGAGGAAGGCCTCTTTGGGCAGCGCCTGGCGGTGGGCGAGGACGCCGCCCGCCTCGGCGTGGCTGATGATCCACTGCGCGTCGAGGACGGCGACGGCGCCGCTCGCGAGGACCGGCTCGAGGTCGCCGCCGCCGAGCTTGCGCCACTTCTCCAGCTTCTCCTCGCTCACGCCGAGATCGGTGGCGGAGGGGAGGGCGTCGCGGCGGTGGAGGCAGGGCAGCGACTTCGCGAAGCAGGCGCGCATCGACAGCATTGGAACACCTCGAATTTTTAAACTTGTAGCGCTACATCTTTGGACACACACCGGCGGGCGCTTTCGAGGCGACCGGCAGCATTTTTTCTAGACCTTTTTGCGGCACGATAGCTGGGCTGCAACATACGTGTACCTACACTCGACTACAGCTACGACTGCAACGGCGCGCAGCGCCGAAGAAAATTTTCTTCTCGAGCGGCGGCCGGTGTGACGCCGTTGTTTCGCAGCTCGGTCGGGGGGGGGGCCCTGCGTTTCCCTGCGGTCGGTCGAAAATCATTAAGTCGGCGGACTTGCACGGAGCAAGAACTCGCGCCGATCAGCACCGCTGGTATCTCTCGGCTCCAAGAGAAGAGGCGCGTTATGCCGTCCAGCGACCTCTTGAGGCTGCCTGTCGACGAGCTCCGCTCCTCGCGCCTCGCCGAGCTCCTCGCGAGCATCGACGCCGTCGACGCCGCCGACGCGCCTCTACTGACGCTGCTGTTCGACAAGGCCTTCGGCGGCGACGCCGGCCTCCAGCTCCTCCGTTCGGCGGCGGTGCAAGAGGCGCTCCGCGCGACGGCGCTCGTGCACGCCGACGACGCAATCCGTTCCTTTGCGCTCGTGCACTGCAAGCGGCTCGCGGCGGCGGCGGCCGACGTCTCCCTCCTCGGCGCGAGCGGGGTGCTGCAGCAGATTGCCGTGCTCGTCTCAGACGCGTCGCTCGGCGTGTCGCAGCGGGCGGTGGGGTTCTTCGTCGCCTGCGCGGCGAGCGCCGGCGCCCTCCGCGCCGTCCTCGACCACGCTCCCTCTCGCACCGCGCTCCTCGCCCCCTGCGCCGCCGCCGCCGCCGACCCAGCCGGCGGCGTTCCCGCCCTCGCGCTGCGCACGCTCGCGCTCTTCGGTGAGATCGCCGCGATTGGCGACGCGCAGTGCGCCATGTGCGAGGAGAGCGGCGCGCTCGACCTCGCTCTCGCGGCATGGAGAGGCTCCGACGAGCTGGTCCGACTCAACGCGCTGGAGGTGTTTGCCCTTCTGGCGCGCGTGCCCCGCGGCCTGCACTGGCTCGAGGCGCACGGCGTCGTGGACGACCTGCTCGCGCAGGCGCGCGGCGCTGAGGCCGACGGTGACGCGCCGATGGCAGAGGTGCAGCTCCCCTCCGTCTTCCACTGCCTCGCCGAGCTACTCGAAGCGGGAGGCGACGCCGCCGTCGATAAGGCGCTCTCTCCCCACCTCTCCCCATCTCTCCCCATCTCTCCCCATCTCTCCCCACCGCTCCCCCCATCTCCCCATCTCTCCCCACCGCTCCCCATCTCTCCCCATATCTCCCCATCTCTCCCCACATCTCCG